CTTTTGTATCCTGAAAGTTTGTACTGAAGTTAGGATGATTGGTAGAGTTTACAGAAAAAATTTGTAAAGTTATTTGCTATATTTTAAAGTTAATGAAACAAAATGCTTAAATGTCACGGTTAGTCGTTTAAATTGGTTATTTATTCTAAATATTCACAAACCATAACATTCAAAATTTCCTCAGCTTTATTTTTGAACCATGGTATATTAAAGTCAAGCAAGAAATAAGAACTTTATCAAAGTTTTTCTACAGGACGACACCTCTAAGTAGCCTGGCTAGCTAGCAATCCGAACACCATAGGGCACAGCCGAAGCTAACCGATGAAGCTAACCTGGCGCTAACACTGTTTGCTAACGGTGGTGACCAGACATGAGCACACACAGGTTAAATTGACAAATTTCACTGTATTCAGTCGTTATTTTAAACATCCTCCTCCTACTTGGAAAAGCAGCATGAGCATCTGTCCTTTCATCTCTTCAGGTAGTTCACCTCACCCGCGTTGACTCCAAAGGAACGTACCACTTTGGGAAATGGGGGTGGGCACCAAGACAGACTGGCAGAGGAGCCTCTTCACACAGTTTAGATTCAACTTTTTCTTGAACAAATATGTTAGTTTTGTATTGCTTACATGTTATCTAAACATGCTTTGAATTTGTTGTTGTCATGAGGATTTTTTTATGAACTTGATTTTTTTGTGTCCCCCCTCCCCCCGCAATTGATGCCCTACGCGAAGTGCGTGGGCGGAGCACCTTCTAAAAACATTTATTTTATGTCGTTTGGCAAATAATTTACTGGTGCATTACCGCCACCGACTAGACATATGCACGGACAGATGTGTACTAGTAGAATGTGTACTCATTTATACAGTTTAGCTTTACAAACTGTTAAAGTTACTTATGCTGCATCAGATCTTACATTCATGCTGTCAAGTAGGAGAGAGGAAATGATGAASACCTGGGAGGAGGACTGATTGAAGATTGCAGACAGGTGAGGATGATTGACTGAGAATGACCTGGAAACAAGCTGAGGAGAACTGAAAGGTGGTGACACAGGGAAAACACAGATCAACAAAACACACATCTTCACACCGACTTCAGAGGAATTAATTAATTAATTAAGGGGGTGGGGGGCGCTCGTAGTCAACAAATTTATTATAAATGCATTAATAAACATTTATGCCACAGGGTTGTTTATTTTAATTAGTAATGTTAGGCCTATTACAAGTCTTTATGTTATTGTGATTACACAAAAGTAAACCTGAAACAAATCACAAAATGATTTAAAAACAAACAAAAAAAAAAACATTATTTGAGGAAAAAAACGTGAGATTTTAACAGGAAAGTTGTTGCAACTGAATGTTAAAGTTATTAAAATGTGTTATTGAAATATTCATTTAACAAAGACAGAAATACGTGGTCCAAGAATGAAGGTACTCCGTGAGATGATCAGCTGAGTTTTATTTGCCACAACAGGAAACACAGAGAACAACAAAGAGTCACAGACTGACCCMCTGCAAGCTCCTGCTTCTTTGCCGAGGAAGTTGAGGCCTCACATATACTGTTTAACAAACACTATTATGTCATCTTAATAAAGCAAGATTTCATCCTAAGGATGGGTCAAGGGAAAACACAAAGATAAACACAAGAATGACTGTTGTTAGCACATCTTATTCTGACTTTAATCATTCTATCTGCTGATRAACAGCATGTCATGAAAACTTWGGTCATTAAAGGATGTCATGAATTACTGGCTTAAACTTAAAAGTATTATTCCCAACACAAAATGTTTTTAAGATAACAGACAAGTTACTTTCATTACCACTTTAAGGCATTAATCGGGGGACACAAAATTAAAACGTAACATTGCGGCAGCTGGGATCAAATACACACTTACAGAAACTTCTCTCTTATTGACCCTCCTTCTGCCCATTTCTTTCCTCCAATCAGACTGCTCCCCAGCAATTACCTGTTAGAACTAAACCCCTCCTTTTTTTCCTGGTGAGAGAGAGAGAGAGAGAGAGAGAGAGAGAGAGAGAATCAAACAATAACACAACTAGCAGCCCAGACTAGGTGAGCTGTAACTCTCAACACTCTACAAAAATCACCACAAACAGCAGCCAAAGGAGATTTAAGAATAAAGGTACAGTCCAAGTTGTCAACAAAAACAGCGTTTTTCAGCTTAGTTTAAAAAAACAAAGGTTAAAGGTGACCTAATATGGGGGTCCTARAACAAGTTAGGATCCATCTGTGGGGTATACAAAACATGTTCATTTGATTTAATTCACAACATTAATTTCAGCTAATGAAATTTCACCTTTTCAGTTCGGCCTGTTCTTCAGCTCTCTTCAGAACATGCTGCTTTGCATAAGCTTCTATGGAAAYCCCCTCCCAACCTTTTGTTTACGTGGTGCTTGGACTGTTTTTAGAAGCAGTACAGACCCACCTGTAAGTAAAAAAAAATCCTGAAAAAAGTGAATTTTGCATATTTGGTTTCCTTCAAAACTGGATGGTGGAGTGATTTCAGCGTTTGAACACAAGATGGCGCCATTGGTAGCTATAGATTGGACTAAAAGCCCKTAAAACCACACAAAACATCAAAGCATTCACAGTAAAATGAAAATATACCACTCGTTTAAATTACAACTCATTCTGCAGACAACGAAAACATCTGTCCATAACAGCAAGCATAATACTATAAATGCATTGTTCCAAAAAATCTGAAACCCTCGGGAATTTTTAACAACTTTATGTTTTTATAGATTAGTAGCTAATTAAGAGAAATTATTTCTACAACACAAAAAAATGACTTGATTTCCCTGTGATTTAGACAAAATTAAGTTTACTTWTGTGGAAAACAACGTATTGTCTTATCATCTTTTGCAAATGCAAAAAGGCAAACCCCCTTATCCAGCAGCTTAGACGATTACTGAAATTTGTTTGTGGATTTTTATAAATTTTGGGACTTTTGACTCATAAATCACATCGTTTCTGAATGTCATTTTCATAAAAACAAACATTTTATTGYTCTTGTTGGCCAAACGGGACAGAAAACTCTAAAGCATGCTCATCTTATCAGTCTGCACTTTGTATTTGTCTTTTTATTTTTTTAAGCTGTGGGTTCTGCAGTGATGCAGTGCTGTCCCTTTATTAGTCATACGATGTCTCTGTGCAAGCTTCTTTGCCTTCCTTCTTTTCTTCCTCTTTTCCCCCCACACCCCTAATCTCCCCACCATATTGCCTCATTCTCTCTCACACATTTTTGTTCCCCTGTCATCCCCCCCAAGGTGACTTTCCTTCCTTCGCAGACACTGCAGCTGTCCCTCGCTTTGTTCTGAAAGGCCTGAGAGTGGATAAGAGATGAGAGAGATGCAGAACGGCAGCATGAGAGAGAGGGAGAGAATCAGAGTGTGAAAAATGGAAGGGTGGGGTGGGGTGGGGGTGATGAGATTATCAAGCAGGTTTGGGAGAAATCGACAGTTTTGAGTAAGTTCACAAATCAGAAAGGCAGACATCATTCGCGCACACAAACACGCCACACGCCCTGACAGATTTGTCAACATCAAGAGCTGCCCGCACAGATGCTTACCTCACCAACATGTTTCATCTTCATTAGCACTGGTGATTAGCACAGTTGTCACATTTCAGTGATATGTGGTGAAGGGTCAAACAGGAGTGTTAAAATTTCAGTGTTAAACTTTTGGGTGTTGATTTAACATCCTAGTGTTATTTTAACCCTTKCTGAGTAAACTGACACCCAGTGTTGGTGTTAATTCACAGTGTTGATTTCCTCAGTGTTGTCTCAACAATGGACAGTGTTAAATAAGCTCCACCCACTGTTGAGTCTTATATAACACTTAACAGTGTTGTTATATAACACCATGCAGTGTTGAAAGAAGTATTTTGAAAAGCCCTCATGTCAGACAGACCAGTATTTTCTCAGCAAGGGATGCTGGGTAATTGTGTAGAAATGTTGTGTTTGTATGACTATTAAAGAAGTTCATGAGAGTAAAAATTAGTTGTTCTGGTTAGTTTTCTTGTTCAGTTTTATCAAGTTGTTCAAGTTAAAGTTTGTGTTATTATAATATAAAAATTGACACCATGAATGAGAGGTACTTCCTGGTGTGTGAAAGGTGACTCCATTATACTTTGGTTGGTGTGAAACTAACAAAAAATAGGTGATAGAATTGAACACTTTCACAAATGTTATTATAACACCAGCAAGTGTGGACATATAGACATTTGGTGCTGAATTTAACACTGTCAGTGTTAAATTAACARTGATGGTTTTGCTGTTGTACATCACAAGAATGTAATTTTAACACTAAGTCATTGTAATTTCATAATTCTTAAAGAATTACTGTTTTACACCACAGAAAAGTAATTTTACCACCAAACTAGTGTACTTTCAAAACTGCTCTGGTGTGACTGTTTTACACCACAAATGTAGTTTTAACACGAACTTAGTGTAATTTTATAACTCTTACAGAGTTATTTTTTTACGTAGCTTTAACTCTTCATTGGTGTTAATAGTTTTAACACTTTTATAAGTGTTAATTTAACACTGAAGTAGTGGTTCCCATTTAAACTCTGTACGAGTGTTAATTTTAAGTCTGACAATGTTAAATTTACAATTTCAAATTTGCTGCGTACAGTCAGCAATAAATGTTGTGAGTAACTGGAACGGAGTGTCTAAATTTAGGAATCAGAGAAACGAGGGACAGAGATAGGAAAAGTAGAAAAAATAGGAGGGACAGCTAAAAAGTGAGAAGGATTTGGATATTAGGGTTCAGATTAAGTTGTCTTTTTCGGCTAATATAATAAGGTTTTAGATTGTGTTTTAGGTTGTATTTTATGGATTACATCCTTCTTAGTGCTTGATGATTTTAAAGAACAATGAGTATCTTACCTGTTGAAGGTAGGTATTTAAATGGCCTAAATTTAKAAAAGCAACATTTAACTCTGACCAGATTGATGAGCTATAATGGCCAGTCTGAGTGGAGCCAAGACCCAAGTTTAGAGTTACGTTCAGACCCTTTTATCTTAGAAATGTCATAGTAGTTCTTACAAATKCCACTTTATAAACCCTTTTACTGCTGTCAGTTTTGCATCATGTAGTTACTTTGGCAGAAATATTAGTGCCTGAAATGTCCCAGGGTGCATTGGAAATGAAAAAAACAAACATTTTTTTTATAAATAACCATAGATTGCAAAATTGATGGCAATGTAAATGTTTATAAAACACACATACACATAAATACACTTCTATATATGTGATATGATCTTACAGTTGTATGGATACTGTTTGCATTGAAAAAAAAACAACTAAATTGGCAATTATATAAAGTTCAAGAGATTAAAAAAACAAATCAATGAGAATAAACATGTATTAATAGACACAGTGAACTGATATAGACTTTTTAATACAGTTTCTGCTCTGTTCTATACAATAGCACATATTATAAATCTTTTACAATACTAATATTTCTCTATATACATGGTTATAAATATAAATTACAGTGTACACACATACAGTATTAACACAAATACACTTACATGAATCTTTTTATATACTTTTTAATGCTCCAACTCACTAGGAGTTTTTTTTATCACAATGATGGGGTTTCTGTCCGGCAGATGATTGTAACCAAAGAAAAGGGGTTTAACATTAAACCCCAAAAACAAACAATTAAGTATTTACATCCCTGAAAAATATACATTAATACACAAGAAGTATTGTTTGGCTGTTTGGCTCACAACTAGTGTAAAAGGAGTGAGAGTGATGTAGCCCAAAGCTCAAAGAGCAATCCAAATTTTGAGTTCATACAAAGTTAAAAGTGGACTCGATCTACTTTAGTGACATAAACCGCGTTGATCTAAATTCTAACACCCATAATACAACAGCTGATTGAGGGCTGGTTATATTTCTTTTCAGTCCGGCAAGTTTGGAAACGAGACACAAAGCCCTGAGGAGAAAGAGAGAGATACAGATATAGTGTAACATGTCCAGTTTTTAGTCCAGAGGCTGTTTATCTCTGTGGTCATTCAAAAAAGCTGTCACAAACAAACAAACAAACAAACAAACAAACAAACAAACAAACAAACAAACAAACAAACAAAAAAAACAGCCGTGCAAAGTTACTAGTTCACACAAAGGTATACATCAGTGGTTTTCATGCTGAGACCAGCATGGCTTTACAGATAAGTTTTAAAAAAGTTTTCACAAAGTATTGCCCTTTAATTATCTCTTTAAAACTGTTGTGATGGAGTAGTATTACAGTGCTTTTTTGTACACACATAAATACAAATGCCCCAAATAAATGTCTTTTTTTAAAGGTCCAGTAGCCCCTGTTGTTTATCATAAGATAAATGACCATTTTTATTGTTTTCTCTGTTATCTAAAGTACTGCGCAAACTTTTGAAACCACCCCTGAATTGTTTGTACTTTACTTCCAAGGAAGCTTTCTTGTAATCCTTTAAGGTAGTTTTGATCAAACTTATAGAATTTGTACTTTTACTGTGTTTTTACTTTTTTCTGTTCAGTTTTTGTTACTGATCATGACAAACTGGAGTTAAAGTTTTCAACAAATAACTTTTAGGAATCACCTTATTGGTGCTAAAAACTATTACCTCTCAAACTGCTATCTTTGGTATATTTTATTGATTCAGAAAAAAAAATGGAACACATTTTTGTGACAGCCTGCTAATAAATAAAGGTCCAAATGATCAAATTTAAAGGGGGCATATCATGCTTTTAAATCCTTCCTTTGCACATTTAAATCATTCCGTTCAGGTCTCCATATTCTTTGGTCTAAATTCTTCATTATTGAAGCTCCACAAGCCCAGCTTTCACCCCTGTTCTGAGGTGTGTCTGAGAGCAACTCATTTTGGTGCTGTCTCTTGAAATGCAAATGAGGCACATTTTACCTCGCCTCCCTCCAGGTCTCACTCCAGGTCTCACTCCCATTGATCATTGACCACTCCACCCCATTCTGACATTTTAGCACTTTCATAGCAGAGATACTATATTAATTAAAAACATTTTATTTACAAACTGATTAAAATATGTCAACAATGGAAGACTTGTCCATCCAGCCTTACATGTTGGAGCCAGAGTCTGATCCAGAGCCAGAGGAGAATGAAAGGATCAAATCTGCAGAACCTTGGATTTTTGAAAAATTGGTTAGCCAGAAGGCCATGACCTGTTTTAACAGTTCCACAGCAAATGCTGTTATGTAATTGATCAAAATACGTAATAGGGAATAGAGAAAACCAAACAGATTAAAAAATGTGACTCAAACAGATATCCATGCAGCACTAAAAGAGACTAAATTCAACTTTTCTGCACTCCTAGAGATTTCAAGTACAAAATATATTTATGTGCTAAACAATTGGATTTTGCATGAAATGTCCCCWTTAAATTTTATTCTTTATTAACACAACTTTGGTTCATAATCCCTTGAGTTTAAGAGTTGTGTAATGTTTGAATGATTAATAGGTCAGATTAAAAAACAAGACAAAATCTCCTCTGAAAAGGTCATTTAAGGGACAGACTATGTATAAAAAGAAAAACAAACTCAAAGAAAAAACATTGCTCTGTATTGCTTAGAAAGATTACAAGACAACCTGCCTTCTCGGAACTAAAATATAAATAAAGAAGAGACAGCTCAAGATATTTGCACACCACAGAAAACCAACAATTCTGTGTTCACATTCTTTTTGTTCACATCTTGGGGGGGTCATTGCTTTGTTCACGTTTTATTGCACATAATTCCTAGACAAACAAATATATATATATTTCCAATTTACGCAATTGCAGATTCGTTGCACACACGCCTGACAACCTCAAAATCACACAAACTTCCATTGTCGTAATTATTAAAGTGGGTTTGAAAAAAAAAAGCCTTTTAGTTTAGTCTCATTCACAATCCTCTAAAATGCAGTATGGTGCTGACTAGAAATTACATAGAAATGTGTTTATTTTGTTTTTGCTTTTTTGTGATTTATTTATTTTGTTTGTTTTTGCTGTTTAATTTTATATAAGCCTGTAAACTTTGCTATACCCTTTACAGATACATTGTTGTAAACATATAGCCGGACCATATAGTCAGCACCATAACAACATCCYAACAACTCAATTAAGGCATGAAAAGAAATAAAAAGGAATAAAATCTTTCATTTAGAGAACATCTGTGCAGGTAGATACTTGTGTGCTTTCACAGATAGTGACTAAATGCAGATAAGTGTGCGCTGAGTGTTTGTGTGTGAGTGTGTAACTGTGCATATRTACATGCACATGCAGTTAAAAGTGCACGCAGGAGCGATATTATACGGTATGTATTTGCAATTATCTATCCCTTATTTTACACGAAGGGGGAAAATTAGTACTTTGAGTGGTCATGGCTAGGTTGTCATAGAGACTCATAAATAGTCCAAGGTGGACTGTGTCAGGTGAGCAAACAGCAGCGCTGAGAGGAGCTCATGGTTCACCTGTTTCCTCATCTGCAGAAAACCCGAAGCTATGAGGTTTGCCCTGACCTTTGTAAACAAACTCCTGCTCATTTGTCCTCACACCCACACACAAATACTCGCACAATCCATCTCCATCAGCTTAGTAAGGTACAAACAATTCTTTCAAGTCGCACAGCACTCCCAGACATGCAACTGCACTTTGAAGACTGGCCTCATTCCCTCACTGCTTCTGTGAGACATCGATCAGTGCCGTCGCTGGCCTCCATTCTTGACTTGCGACCCTTTCTCTGGCCTCCCCCGTCCACCCAAGAGTTATGAATCACGGTCCCTCCACTGGGAGCTGGGTCCACCTGCAGCAGGGACACTACCCTTTTCTTGACACGTGTTTTCAGGGCGCGCCGTAGCTTCTGTCTAGTGAACGCATAGAGCAACGGGTGAAAGATGGTAGTTCCATACGCCATGGCCAGGAAGCACAGCCGAAGCTCCACCAGGCTGTCACTGGGACCCATACAAAGGATAAGAACATTGACTGCGGACAGAGGAGCCCAGCAGCCCAGGAAGGTGGATATGATGATGAGGGACATTTTCAAGACACGACGTTGACGCTCCCGCCGGTCCCTGTGTCTGCGCACCGCCCGCCGCAAAGCGATGATGGCAGACACCGAGGCCTGCACACCCATGGATGAGGCAGGCAGATGAGTGGAGGCGTGGGTCTGGGCTGATGCTGTAGGGGGAGTTGGCGACACTGGTGTGGCTGGTGTGGTCGCAATGGGGGTGGTGGCAGCAGTGCTGACAGTGGTTACTGTAGCACCACTGTCGGACAACCCTTGAGGCATGGATGAGAGCGGCGGGGGCGATGTTGGYGTAGGGGTGGCAGAAGGGATAAGGGGCGGGTGACTGAGGTTCTGGTTCTGATTGGAGGACACCGTTTCAGTGGGCAGGTTCAGGTCCTTCTTTGTTCGCCTCCTGCAGCGTATCCTGCAGGTTTTGTCCTTTGAACGTGTACTCCTCATCATGTGGGAGCCAATGCGGATGTTGAGGGCTTGTAAGATCCTAGAGTAAGTGAACAGCATGACTACCACAGCTATGAAGAAGCATGGCACTTGCAGTAACAAGTGGTAATATATAGCCATGCCTGTGTAATAACCCTGCCCTCCAACACACAACAGAGTCCTGTTCTGCCATACAGGTGGCGGGTGGTGTGAAGGGTAGGAGGGCAGAGTGGAGGGGAACAAAGGAGAGATGGATGAAAAAATAGGCGTGTGTTCAGTAGAGAGTTCTGACTCATTGCTTTGCCTCTCTGATTTGTCGTCCTCACTATCCTCAGCTGTGGTGGAGAAGAAGTCCCCTTCGAGAAAAGGCAGGAAGAAAACAGCCAGAGACACGGCCCACACTGCTGCCAGGAGCAGTGCGGCCCGCCTGGGGGTGAGGAGACGACTGGCCGGGCGCACAGAGATGTCGTAACGGTCCAAACTGATCACTAACACGTTGACTGCCGTGGCCACGCTCGTGAACGTGACACAGGCTTCGTGAAAGCAACAAAGTGTGGCCAGGCTGCTGACTCCATTTTCGTTTGCTGGTAGCAGGATCACAGCGACTGTTAGAGGCAAACAGAGCACACACACCAGTATGTCGAGCACATGGAGGTTGACCGTGACGAGGTTGCTGACGGAATCCACCAGGTTCGACTGAGCACAGTAGAGCACGAGCACGGTCAGGTTGCTGCTGAAGCCTAACACAAGCTCCAGTATCAGCACAGTGGTTAAAGACACCTGAAAACCAAGAGGGTATGGTGCGCTCCAGCCTTCCTCCATGCCCACTTCCCCTCCTCCATCCAGCAGGCCTACCCCCTGACCATCGCTGGTCTCCAGGAGGTCACGATAGCCTTCGGTCTCCATTGATGCCGCGGCAGTTCTTCATGCATAGCCACATCGGCCTCCAAACCAGACCATGGTCTAGATTTCCTTTGGCTCGGATGAGACAGCAGTGAAGATGTTACCCGAAGGTGTGCTTGTATCTGCAAAACAGAAAACGGAGAAAAGAATTTGAGAAAAATGAGAAGACAAAAGGCGACAGAGAACAAACAAGCACTGTAGCACCCAGCTTGTCCCATGATTTTATTTTTACATGACTGTACAACAGGTTCAAGTAGACATGATGGGATGACCTCTCACAGGGCCGTGCTCACATGAAAACTGTGATGATGTTGCAGAAATGATTTAAAGCAGGACTTCTACAGGAACTATGTTGTTTGGGTCTTATAGGGACAGATCAATTCTGTGGAGTTGTTATTGATTGGTAACTTCCTACCTATCAAAATAACCCAGACCATTTGCCAGCGTGAAATATTTTCTTGAGGGAGTCGAGCTAAGACCAAGTGTGATCAACAACTCCTATCTTAAAGATTTCATAGTGATTTGGGTTCATGTTTTTGTATAAACCTTTAGAGAATTAAAGCAAGCCCCATTTTATTGATTTTACACTTGAAAATAGCAAATTATACTAAAACCTTTTTCATTTAAACAACAATTATTGCGTTTTGTGTTACAGTTTTGTCACATTTTGAAAGACAGTCTTCATATATGGAGCAACACTGGTAATAAACCCGACCAACCAGTCTTTGGAATAAATAACTACAGATTTCTAAATAAATACCGATCTAATACAAACATAGCAGCAACGTAAAAGTTTATAAAACAACAATGACTTGAAATGCATTAGTTTTGAGTTTGGCGATGCTTTAAAGGAGACATTAAATCCTTATTATTCACATTTTTTAAAACTTAWTCTGGGATGTATATAAAGTGGAACTGCTATGTTTTGGTCTGATTTCCTCCTTATTGTAACTCCACAAGCCCCTCTTTCACCCCTTTTCTGAGGTGTGTCTCGGAGCAACTCATTTTGATGCTGTCTCTTTAAATACAAATGAAGCACTTCACATACACCCCTCCATCTTCCACAGTGGCCCATTATAATTTGATAGCAGAAATACATCTATATAGCTGTGCAGAAACACTTTATTTATAAATKAATAAAATATATCAACAAGGGAAGACTTGTCCATCCATCCTTACATGTTGGAGCCAGAGTCTGACCCAGAACCAGAGGAGAATGAAGACAATGAAATTGCTTAGTTGGTAAATCCAGACATTATTTAGAAGTACCATTGCAAATGATTTGATGTATTAGTTCCAAAAACACCACAGAGAATAAACAAAACTGAGCTGGTTGAAAAATATGACCCAAACAAACAGTAAAGATTTCTTTGCAGCACTGTGAGAAATTAAGAAAAAAAAAATTCTGTACTCCTAGACGCTCCAAGTACACAACAAAATACATTTAATAGCTAAAAAAATTATTTTGCATGAAATGTCCCCTTTAAGACCATTTTTATTGGGGCCCTGCACAAAAAAAACGTTCTGCCTGATACTTTAAACAAGATTCCACCAAATCATAATGAATTGTTTTTATTTAGTTATTGTTTCAAATGATATAATGCGCTGAATTCTGTTTCTAAAGGAACAACCTTCTCTTTTGAGCGCGAGTGGGTGGATGCTCATCTCAGTCTTGCTCAACAKGCAATATAAGGTTCAGAAGTTGTCCATCCAGGCTAAAGCGTTTGAAGATGATRAGGAGTCATGCTGAGACGTCAGTGACTTTACAACAGGATGTCTGGAGTTGTTTGTTCTCATGGCAGCTGTGTCCTAATGATCAACAACCAGTCTTGTGAAGACAACCAAAGCAAGCGAAGATTTCTCTTTATCCACAATAGCCAGCTTCTGTCTCCACAAGGAAGGGTGGTAAGGACATTGTTGGACAGTGCATTTCATGTCATCATTGTGGGTGTCCAACAAAAGATGGAAGAAGCTAATAGTTCTCACACAGAGACATAATGAAGACAAATGGATCAAGGATCCACAGACAGAACCACACAAAAAAAGGCTCAGAGAAATTGCAGCACCAATGGTGTCCTTTCTCCACACGCATCCTCCTTCTTCTTCTTTGTGTTTTTAAATCTCTTTGGTGATTTTTTTAATGTTTAAGTTCCTTCTTTGTAAGATAAGAAACCCCATTGTACCTGAAATGAAGAGCTATTTACTTGACCCCCAGTCTTTGCTGTCAGCCTCCAATGACAGCCTTTGGTCACCATTTGTTTTACTTNCCCCCCACCCCCAATTTTATCATGTGGAAAGGACCTGAAGGCAGAGCAGGACTCAGTGTGGAACAGAGGTCTATCTTAATTCACTAATGGGTTTCATGGGGTTTGCGGTGGGGCTGGAACATTGATTTAAAGCATCATCGACCTGCCAATTTAACAAGCCTGAGGAAAGAAAGCACATGAACACACTCCCTTTCACATCCTCCCCTGAGCACTCATCTCATTTTGAGTGTTGCAAAAACAGTTGTGCTCATTTTTTTCTTGTTCTCTTTCAGCACCAGCAACAGTTCCTTTTTTGTCTTTTATCATAAATATAACTGTGCTGTTTGCAGTCTTTCATTGGTGTAAAACAACAGATTTAGAASTATTATTGATCAACTAATTTCACAAAAATGACTGGTCATAAAAGTTTTCAAAACTCTCATAYGAATATATTTTTCAGTCAAGCTCCTCTAGCTCATGTTTCTGTTGCCTCGACTTCAGACACTGTGCTAAAAGTCAGTGGCTCAGGATACAAGCAGAGCTGCAAATGCAAACAGAAAAATTCCTTTTTCTAGTTCAACATTCTGCCAATCAACCATCATGTTTTCCACAGACTTTCTTTCAACAAAACAATGAGTAGTTTAATTAGCTGTGGGATTCTGCAGTCAATGAGTCGAGTCATTTTTATCAAATATCAACGCATCGCTTGCTTCTCCTCATTCTCATGCAAATAATTACAAGACGCTTACTGTGTACCGAGYAAGCAGAGTAGCTGTCAATGTTTTTTTTAAATCCATTTTATAACAAGGAAAAACAAAGGACTTACAGCAAGTTCTGTAATAAAAGATACCCAGTTCTCTGGTGATCTGATAAGAGCTACAAAGGCGCTCAGACAAAAGAGCAGAAAAGCTTCGAGCAAGAGCAAATGTCAAATACCCTTCATGGAAGCAGATGTGACACTGACCTGCAGGCAGTAAAAGTCACTATAATCCAGTTTGTGCAGGGACAGAGGAATGAAACAGGAATGAATTAACACAATTAGACAGGGGGCTGAATTTCTAGTGGCTTTGGCAATAATCTGCCGTGTTTGGGGTTTCAGTGTGTGGATAATCAAGTTCATCTGAAGTCGCAGCTTAATCTTGAGCAATTTGTTACTGTGGTAACTGAGAGAGAGAGAGAGAGAGAGGGCAAAGACAGAGAAGTTATTGCACTGCAGTGTGTGAAAATCTTTTGTATTTATTTATTTATTTTTTACAATCCTTTCCTGGTATTGTTTTCAGCTCGGTGCAATCCAGGGAAGTGTTGGGGCAGGAGCAAGCTGGAGCTGCTGTGAGCCGGGGAGATAGAATGAAGCTGGAAACAAGGTGAAACTGCAGCGTTAACGACATCCAGACTGTGATTTTTCAGGTCAGACAGAAAGAAATAGACCAGGAGAAACTTCCAATGTGTACAACAGACATTACTCTAAGACATGAGCCAAATGTTTTAACATTGCAGCAGCACTACTGCACAGTGTGGCATGATGAATGTCTTTATGTAGTCATAAAGTGGTACCTCCTGCACCTGTCCARCAACAACTTAATTTATCTCTTTGGAAGTTGGATTCTGTGGGAAGGAACAAATACCTATTTGTTTGAACAACCTAATTTAAATAAAGAAGTATACATCTGGCTGGATAGATGAGCTAATGGCCAGAGTAAGGCCAAAACCAACACAGATTGCTGCCCAATTATATCACATTTCAAAAGATTATTTATAAACTGGTTATTTTAGTGCAGAAACCCACGAGTAACTGTCATCAGGGTTTGATTTGAAGTTACAAAATATTTTCATTACATCTGTTGTCCTTTTTTTTTTTTTTACTGTAGAGTCTTTGATTTGCTCCAGAACAACAAGCTGACAGTGTCCAGCTCCCTGCTGTCAGGGTTATTATAAGTGTCGGGTAGGAGATGACAAGTTGTCGAGGATTTTTTTTCACAGTATCACAGGAGTAAACACTAAAGCCTGCTGTGTTGTCAGTGTGAAAAAAAATGTTGTTCAGGTTGTTTCTGTTGTTCTTTTCTTGCAGAATTTCTTTTGTCCTGCATACACCCCAGTTATCTATGTATTTACTTTGCACTCCTTACAATCCATTGTCTGCCCAAGGCTTGATTTCCTCTTCTGAGCACAAAAACATGCAGAGGGCTGGGTAGCAAAAGCACAAGATAGTGCAAAGTATTCTTGGGTGATTCAGAAACACTTACACAGAAAGGACAGGAGAGCAGAATGTGAAAACAAACCTCACAAACTCACAAGCAAAATGTCATCTCTGTTAACGCAGGGCCACACTTGACTTGACAGGAAAGCTAAAGTTCAAAGTTAGCGTTCCCTTCTGATAAACAACACAGGTTTATCATTCACGTCTGAAACGAGGCAGAGAGACCTTCTGGCCCTTTGTGTCATAACCTCCGTCCATCGGGCCGCTGCTGCATGACGAGGTCTCTACCTGCTGCGCTCCACTTTTCATGAGGGCACGCTCACATTTCCACATCAGCCCCTGACAGTCGAGACATGACTGTTTGAGACTTATGACAGCGTGCTAATTATTTCATAAAGACCTAAAGCTGTGTGTGCTGTGAATGCATATTTTTTAAGTAAAGTAGCATTTTTAAAAGTACTTTAGAACACTGCGACTGAAACATCCATATGGATTGTCATAAAGTAGGTCACAGTCTACATGAAACATTTCACATGAATCAGTAGTAATTTTTTTTTCTGCAGGAAAAATATCATATTCACTCTGCTTTTCTAATCACTGATGTGTTAGAGTTTTGGAACGTGACCAGAAAAAATTGTGAGTCAGAGCCAAAAAAGCTTCAGGACACATTAGGCATCCTGTTTGTACACAACGACACAGAACAGCAGGGACATCGCTCTGCTGAGAATACAGTGAAAAAGTAAATAACTTCCAAAAGAAGCAATGAGATGAAAATATTTTATGCAGTATTTGTTTGTTGAGATTTGTAATCTATCTGGTTCTAGCTTTAGTTAACTCTTAGCTTGACTCACACAGAAAAATCTCTTCCTAACTCTAACTCCTTCCTAATAGGATTGCTGTCTACTGCAGGTAAGATAATGACTGCTCATAATATGTTTCCTTTTTCACTGGGGCTTTTTTTTTGACACTGACAATAAAAGGTTTAAAATATTCAAACTTTGACTTTTTATTTTTTAAACCAGTTTTATCTGAATGTAAAAATAAAGTGTACTATTTCTATCTATATTAATRCAAAGAATTCAGTTTAGGTCTTTCTCTTACAACACATAAACATTACACCTAAAATGAYGCAGTATTACAGTAAAGCAAGCTCATATGATTTAGAGACAGGAGGCAGATAGAAACAAAAACAAACCCACGTTTTTCATTACCTAATGGATATACATACAGTATAACCCATCATTTATTTTCTATTAGAATGTTTCTCATAGTGAAACATTTTTTAATAATAATCAGTCGTCCTGTTGCTGTTTTTGTTCCAGCTGTTGGAAACTGTCCAGCTTGGGTCCACATAATGGATGGGGATTATCAGAACTGTTTACCAGTGGTAAGAACAGTAGCTTTAGATTGAAAGGCTGAATAAAAAAATTGAATCAACAAAATCCCATTTCCTTTTAGKCAGTCCATATCTGACCTCTTTCATTTTTGACTTTTCATTTGATTCCACTGACAAAAGACACAAACCTCATAACCTCCTTGGTTGAAGTAACAATAACCAAATTAGAGTAGATTGTGTTAAAAAAAACTTTAAATGTCAGTATAATGGCAWAATTATAGTAATTGTGTTTTGCATCTCAATTCAGAAATGTCTCCTTTTTTGGTAAAACTGTAAAAATTCCAGGACAAAACAATGAGAAACCACTTAGAGACTGACACCAAAAACTGACATTTAGAGAAGAAAAGGGAGAGTCAGGAGTGAAGAGGAAGGAAAATGAGAGGAGAGAGAGAGAGAGAGAGGGTTGATGGTGCATGCAGCAGGCTGCTGAGTCATGGCCGTCTTAGGTATTCCTAATGTCCGCAGTGAGACAATCATTCAAAGGCTTAATTTTCCCACTCAGTTCATCTAGCTGCACCAACGGCAAGCAGCCTCCAGCTGGGCAGCAGGAGCCTTGGCAGGTTCCCAGCAAACCAGCCTGGGCAGGCGAGCAACACAAGCAGCTCAGCGAGAGCAACACCATCCCAACCTGGTGTGCTTCAGATCAGTCGTTTCAAGCCTGCGAAACTTCAGGAGTACGGCTGAGCCAAATGTGAGGAAACAGAACAAACTGACACGGATGTGCAGTTCTTCCTGTGAGGCCAAAAATACCCCTCATTATCAGAAACAGATTGTAAATCATGCTGATTTAACCAGAATCATACAAGCGTATCGCGTTGTTCATAATGCTCCTGCTATCTGCCACTCACCCACACAACCTCCCACTGCCAGCCCACGCCTCTGCGCTCTCTCCCCGCCTGCGTGCTCCCTGCAGATCCGGCGAAAAGATGGATTGCTATTTGAGGTGAACGACATGTTGAGCGCTTAAGAAAGGACTGAGTCCCATCGACACTTACACCTGAGACAAGTTGTGGGGGGGGGGGGGGGGTGGAGTCAACAGCAAGAGAGATAAAAACAGGAGAAAGGTGCAATGAAGGAATGATGGATGGAAGGAAGGCTAAAGGCGGTGCAGACGGATGCTAAGTTGTGTGCTCACTGGAGAGGAATGTTTGCTCCTTGCTCTCCACTACTATCCATCTCTCTCTTGAACAGTCCAAGTCGTGCCTCCTCACCTCCCCTCTCCACCGTGCATTGAGAAAACCTGCACATGGCTCTTAGCTTTAATACGTTTGTGTAATCCCCTTCAGACCGGTCTGTGGTTTTTAATATTAAAATAGCTCTTCATAATGAATCAGTTCATGCAGACTCACACAGAATCCTCAAATTAGATCAGAGACTTCATTTCTGACTGGCCGCTTCAGGAACAGAAAATCAATACAGAAGCAGTTTGACTGGTTAATTATAACAGTGTGTAATCTATAGGTATGGCTATGTATAGAAATAGGACCTTGGTCCCTGGACAGCTTTGAGCCCGGGGCTGTGAGGCATCATTACTAACTGACAGTGAGCTCAACAGATTTCATTTTGTTGTGCCATTTTTTCCCCATTTAAAACACCCATCTTTATCTTCTTTTCTTTACCAGCTGTGATGTCCAAAGCACATCATTTTGCTATTTAAACTCAACTCCCATCATCAATATGAGCTCATCAAGGCTGTTGAGCAATCACCGCTCTTCAAAAAAAAAAAAAAAAAAAAAAAAAACCAAGAGTGAAAGATTGCAAAATGAGGATAAATTGGAGCCTGAAAAAGTGGAGCCTTTAACGTACGTCAGAGCTCCTGGAGGCTTTTCGCTGTCATTGAGCAGAATAGCTGTGATAATGATGTAACACACATACACACACACGGACACACACACACATACACACACACACACACACAAAATGAAGCTGAATAAAACATAGACATGAAGCAGTGCTCATGTGTTTAATAGTAATAAACAACACCTTTATTTTTATATGTGCTGCGAATTGATTGTTTGTGATTAGCGGCGCCTGCCTCCGACTCAAATCTCCCCCTGAGCTCCGCCTTTAATAAAGTCTCAATTGAATCAAACGGCACTCACCATCAGGTGTTAAATTAATTGACCGAATGCAATCATCAAACTGAAATAGCCTTTTGTGCCGCTTCCACCTGTGTTGATGTGTATTGTGCCGGCGTGTGGCRAATAAAAAGTCAAGTCACAGAATGAGGGCTGCCACCATGGTAATGGTTCTCTGGTGACACATAACACCGAGGCAGCAGCTGGATGATATCAGCCCAGTGATAGCTTTGACCTCAGCGCAAGCTGTACAACGCAGCACAACACAAACAGGAGATGGTGACAGAAACAGCTTTTTTTCTATTCTTTTGTCTTCTAACTGCTCATTTATCAAAATCTGTAATATTTAAATAATGTAGCAGCCCAAATCTTTCAAACAAAGCCTCAAATTTAACCAGTTTAGTTTATTTTTTATTGCTTTTAAAAGTGGGGGAAAAGAGAAAAACTGAACATTGAACTGATTAAATCCCTAAATGGTCTTTGGAAAAATAGGTAGCAGTGTTTTGGTTAAAACAGTTGTCATAATTGCATTTTGTTAAAATGTGATGAATAAATACACTGATAAATGAACTGTGTAAAATATAATCCTAAGGATATTTCTGAAGCACTTTTTAAGCAGTTGCAAACAAAACAAAACAAACAAACAAAAAAATAAAAATAAAAACATGATTTTGAGCAAAAACACTTATTTTTCCTGCAAGCTTTTTTTTTCTGTCCAGGTGAGAAATCTCAAATAATATTGAAGGGTTCCTCTTTATAATGATGTTAAAAAGCCTGATTATAATAACTTAAAAATGGGATTCAGACCAAATACCAATGGGTTATCCTAATTAGGAAGACAATCAAGCCACATCTCTGGAACTGATATCTCATGATATCAGTTTCAGTGATCACTAGATATTAGGAGGATCCAGGTATCAAAATCCCTCTTAAAAAGCCAGGAATCATTTTAACCAAATATGACTTTGTTTTATTTGTAATTGTTTTTATTTTGGTTTAGACATGTMAAATATGTACATAAAATGTTCCTATGTAACCATCTCATATTTTAGTCAGAGACACTCCATTGCTCCTTTTGTCTCGATAAACTGGATGATGAGTGCTTCATTTTCAATGAAGCTAAAATTATAAAGCTACTAACAGTACTAACAGTACTATAAAGTACGATATGCCCATAAAGTTTCTATTAAAATTCACTAAAGTCCAACCCCCCCAAAAATATAAAATAAATTCCTCAGGCAGATGTCTGTAAAGTGCATGATCCATCCATTRTCTTTACCCACTTCTTCAGGTTGCTGTAGTCCATCACATGAGACATCCAGACAAGCAGCCATTCACTCTCATAGKGACAACTTAGAGTTACCAATTAGCCTAACATTCATGTTTTCAGTCTGTGGGAGAGAATCTGGGTATGCACAGAGAGAGCATGCAAACTCTACCCAGAAAGGTCTCCAGCCAGGATTCGATCCAGCAACCCTCTTACTGAGAGGCAACAGCTCCACCAACTGAGCCACCCACACAACTCCAAAAACTGATTATGGATGTTTGGATGCAAAAAAAAGGAAAAGCTCAACATTTTGTTCATTTTAAAATGTCAATTTTGACATGCCTATTTCAACTTTAAAAGCCAACTTTATAATTTTAAAAGGTAGTAAACAGGAATTAATTTAAAGGGTTATGTTCCCTTCTGCAGGGATTCATACAGCAACTGAAGGTTATTTTCATATGAGATGCCTTTTCTGACCCACCTGGGCTCAGACCGGCAGCCTCAGAATTACAGGACCACGGTCCTGACCACCGAGCTACTGCAGCTACATGATCTAATAATATAATAATCAGACATTTGCAGTTGAACACTAAGATTCCTTGAGTTGCTCAGAATTTAGTTATTGACACTCATTGAAAACATCAGGTCAAGGTGGATCTGCCACACTGGGATCTTTGATCATTTRTCTTCTTTGCTCTCAGTTTAAATTGCATTGGGTCTGATTGATCAAGAATTGTTGTAAATATTTTAACACTTTTTATTTCAGACTTWAATCTCCTCTGTTTCTGAACAAAACAAAGGGGTGTAAAGGACGAACACAGTTCATCCAGACTGGATAGAAAAATTGTTTTCCTTCTCAGCTTCTTCTTTTTTTTTTTTTGTTTTGGTGACAGCGGTGCCAATTTTCTTTACTCAGATATTGTTTTATCAGACTCATACCTCTGTGGGCTGGTGGCTTCTTTCTGCAGACAGAGAGAAGCCACCAGCCCAC